TAGTTTTCTCCTGAATTTGTCGCATCAGCTCAGGACATTTGATGACTATGAGGAGATGTTCTACCAGTTCGCCAAGCCCTTGAAGATTCATCGACCATTGATCCCAATGCCCTACCGAAACTTGACGGGGGAAAAATGGATGAGACCCAGAAGATAGGGAAAATGACGATGAACCATGGGATCCCAATTTCGGACAATCCAGTTGTTCTTGTTCAGTATCGACGTCCCTGTGGTTATCATCGGTATAAATACATTATATATAATTATATTATATATATATATACATTTGCAATGATGGATGACTTGGGTTTGCAATGCCTTTGAAAGCATGTTGTGCCTGTGGTTCTCCTGTTCTATAATTACCCACGCATGTGTTTGTCAACTCATTCCCATGCTGTTGAGAGAGAGATATTATATATATATATAATTATATATGTATATATATATATAAAATATCAGAATGTGTTTTTGTTTGTTGTCTATTCCAGTTGGTAGAACATGTTTCATTCCATACCCAATACCTTTTGTTTGGGGGTGTCATGTTGTAGTTCAAGGACGTCCTTTCATAGCCTATTCAGTTTTCTGCACGGTGTTTTACCGATAAATGTGATTTATTCAAATGTCAATTTGTATCGGCAATGGATTTATGGACACATATATGTATACATAATATACGTATATATGTTTATATATACATATATGTATATGTATATGTGTGTGTGCGCATACAAATACAAATTTCGACACACACACACACATGCACACAAGTTGTCGTCCTCCTCGAAGTGATGACATTTTTCTGGGTGGCTCTACCCAGGAACTGCCGAGGAGATGAAGAAGAGCCCGGAGTTGCTGTGGGAAGGCGTGAGATCTCATATATCTATGATGTATCCCCCAGAAAGATAGAAGTGGTTCGGTTTTCCATGAATCTATTATATTCTATTTATTTTTGTAGGATTTCACTTTCACATATTTGTTTTGGGTGTTATAGATCCAACACTAAACCAAGGCCAGGGTTGATTGGAGGGTTCCTTTAGAGGTTAACGGTCGGTGACGCGGGGAGGGATGGTGCTTTAAGCAACGGTCGACATGCCTTCAAGAGATACAGCGCTGGACGTAGGGAGAGGACAGTCCTTAGGGACTGTCACATGAACAATCGTGTATGAACTAAGTCTTCATTAATAAGTCATTTATATTATATATATATTTATATGAGGAGATAGGCCACATTTTAGTTTATCATTTTGCCGTTCTTCAGTGACATGTTTGAAAGACCTCCAAATAGATTGGCCACGCCAGGTGCCTGGTTGTCCTTCCGCACCTTGGCTGCTTAGGGTATGCGAAACGCTACCGTGGCGGATACCCGCAATTTTACGACCTTTCTATGAGGGAAATCTAGGGAACATGATGATGAACTTAATGGTGGAGAATGGTTAACCATGATTATAGCCAATGACATGTTAAGGGTTAATGGATGTTAATTAATGTTAATGATGATTGGATACCCTTTTCCGATCGCCCGCTTTCTATCAAACTGACAGCGCTTGCATTTTCGAGGCCAACGTGTTCTGGGAGACTACACCTCTAGGCGGCCCACCCGGGTTTCTCTTTGTATGTGCGGTCAAAACATGGTATGTGGGCTATGGTAGGATTTATTTTTCCTTTATGGGAAATTAAGACATGTATTGACCATGACGCATTTAAGCCCTTGTTTTGTTGTGGTGTCAGTAAATGGACTCCTCGATTTTTCCACAGGAACAGCATTGTAGACATACATTTGAATTAACACCCCAGATTTCGGATGTTCAATGCTAAACATTACCAATGTTCTACCTTGTTTGTTCTTTAAATAGCACAACATCCCAGCATTCAACCATTCATACTTGGTGGCTCACCCCAGTGGGGCAGTTTACCTGGACTAACCCTCAGGGGCTCTCCCGAGTGAGTTCACCTTGGTCACAGGCACTATTTCCGCGACTTCATCGGTGGCATGGGCGTTGGCGTTTTCTTGGCTTGGGCGGCCCGGCGGCACTTTTTGGTGCAGCACTAGGTGCTGATTCAGCAACCAAACAACACTGCTTGGTGGTTTCAAACGTTTTTTTCCCCATGTTCCCCAGAAATGTGTATTGATTTAATACCCCTTAATTTGGTTTATCTGTGATATATATATATATATATGCATACATACAGTATATACATGCATAGTGGGGGCTCAAGATTGCTAAGTTGGTTTAAAACTACAACAACCAGGGTTTATGGGGAATATAATTTTATAGTTAGATGGGGTTATAAACCAATTTACAACTAAGGGGGATCATATTGTACTGATATTTTGCACTGTTGCTGTTGTTGTTGTTGCTGTTGTTGCTGTTGTTGTTGTTGTTGATTTTTTAGGCTTGGATTTGAGTGTTGCCCCTCTCCACATGACTTCCCTAATTGCACAGGAAGCAGTTGAAAAAAACCGGCTGTACATTTTTGTTGAAAAGTGTTTATATATATATATAAGTATTGAGCTTGTTTCAAAGGTGTGCTGCATGCTGATAGTGCAGAGTCTTTGTTTTGGGAAAACACATGTTGGAAGGGAATGATTGCCACATATTTAAAGCGAACAAATATTTTCTCAACAGAGAACATCAAATCACTTCTTCGAACGCATACTACTTGTTTTGGAAACATCTTGGCACTGTGACGTCAAGCGTAGACAGAGCAATCTTACATGAGAGACTGGTCAGCCTGCAAGTCCCTGATCGGTGGATGACTTTGATGAGATCTGCCCAGATCCAAATCATACGGGAAACAGCTGAAAGAAGGTTCCGGAAAAAACTTCGACGACAAATGAGAAATACCACGTGGATCATTTCAAGCAGTGATAGTGATGATGATGAGGTATGATGAGGTCATTTTTGTTTCACATGCACCTGGCCGAAGCGAGGGTGCCTTGAATCCGTGATACCCACATTTCACCCCTTTTCGTGTAATTTATTTTGTTTATGCTCATCCCTGCTCTTTGATGAGATTGTCTCACCACGCGTTTTTGCTTGTTTCACCTTGAAAGCGGTTTTTGGGAGATGTGCAGCAACAACTTCGTTTGCCCCTCCCTCTCTGCCCCTGCCCCTGTTTTCGTCCCTGATACGGCGAGTCACACGGGCCAGACAGGACAGAACAGAACAGAACAGAACAGAAAGGGGCCCACGTTTTGTCACGGATTTGTGCATCCTTTTCCAGTTTTTCTTCAAAGACAAGCAGCCGGTGACCTTGATATGGCAGTGCAGATTTTGCAGGAATGTTGTATTTAAGGAATGCAGCAGCTTCATTGTTTGCTTAAAAGAATGCTGAACCTCGTTTTGGGAAGAAAATATATGGCTGAAAAGGCAATCTACCTGTTCCATATTATTGGACCTGTAAATTAATAGTTGCTCTTTTTTCCAGAGGACTGCGCTTCTTTTGATTCTTTAAAATAATGAAACCTTCAGAAACCCAAAACTAAATGCAAACCTCGTGGTCAAACAGTATTACAAGAACCTTCGGGAACAACAAGTAATCAGCATTAAGTTGCCTGCTCGGTGGAAAAAATAAACACAAGTGCAAGCACCTTGGGAGAACATCAAGAAAAAACAGACAGCAAACCTATGTTTGCAATCTTTGGGGTGATGCGGTCAAAAAGTGGCTATTATTTTCTTTGTTTTTAAAACCATATTTTACTGCAAGCTGTTTGCGCACTTTTGACCGAATCTAGAGGACACCAACAAACCAAAAAATAATGTGTTGAATGAATATCTGGTTTGAGGCGTCAAAGATGATTCTTTTGTGTTCCGTCGTTTTTTCTTGTTTTCTTTATATAGTTTTGAAACTTAACAATCAAATAAAAACCATCATTAGTTTTGTCTTTGGGTTCAAGGCTTTCAAGCAACATCATCAAAAACTAAACGAGTTTTGAGAAGTTGCGTTTTTTTCAGTGTTTTTTTAGCAGTTGTTAAATTTGTTCAATGATTGTTCACTAAAAGCGCTGTTTCTTTTTTGGTTTCTAGATGTTTCTGGCTAAAAAAAACAAGAAGTACCTGCATAGGTCTGCAGTTTTATGTTGCTTTCATGTCAACATTTATTAGTATTGATGTCCTCGCACATGCGGAACCATGCCGTGGGCTGGAATTCCACAAAATCCCAAGAATCACAACACTGCCAATATTTGTGAAGCTATGATTGGGGCCGAGCATGGTTGTGTGGGCCTTGAGATTATTGTTTATTTTGTGTTTTAATGGAATTAGCAAATAACCACCACTTGCAACAGTAATTATGTAGACTATATAAATTCATTATTCTTTCAGAAGAAAGGCGAGAGAAAAGAATTAGGGGAAACATAGTATACGCATTTTTTTTTTGAGACAATGCGGATAGCGCCAAATGCCGACAAACATATTTAAAAATTGAAAAAGGGTACCCGTAGGTCTTGGGGGCAGTACCAGTCATAAATAGTAGCTAAAACTTAATGATTTTCCCTGCGCACAGCTTCCCCCACGGGGAAGTGGCACCCAACAGCCTCAGGTTTACACACAAGCGCATCGCCAGTATCGTATCGATATGAAGCTCTTCTACTTGGAGGCGCGCGATCGGAATCGAGGGGTGTTGGGATGAGATGGTGGGCACGCTGGGTTGTGAAATATGTTTGTTGGGTGGGTCAGATATCATTTGACTCCTTATGTAATCTTATGTGCATCTGTAGTATGTCAATAACTAGGGATATAGCACCAACAAGCAAGAAGAGAATAGAAGTGATCGAATCAACATGCCAAAAATGAAGGATGCAAATGCAAACGAGAATAACGGCGCATCTTAAATCACTGGATCAGCCCAACTAGCCAATTGCCATTGCCTCCAGCCTGCCTCAACCATTGCAGGCACCCGAGCACAAGATCAACTGGGTCACCCCACGTGGGGATTTGTGAGTCCGGGCGGGACCGCCAGTGATCGCCGCTTGTGCCAAGTGGAGTCTTGCCGTCAAGCAGATTGAGTAACATTTTCACCAGCAGAACGTGGCGATGCAAAGCCAACTCATTTAGTGGGCCCGTTGGCCCAGTGGTATCCCGTTTGTGTTCGTTGGTCATGTTTTTTTTTTTTGGTGGGATTTTGATGCTTTTCTGATGCAATCTATGATAATGCCTTTACCTTTGGATGTCATAGGTGAGACTATTACCATCTGAAATAATACTGTAAGAATATCAGAGAGATGGCAATGAAGAGAGCAGAGATATATGAAATGGATTGCAATGCTGTATGACTTCATGTTCTACCAAATGGATCTAAGTGGAGAGGCATTTTAGGTACAGTAGTACATTTGTTTTTTGAAGTATCCAGGGTTAGCTGCCTGGCAGAACGTCACAGGCACAGGCGCGCCACCGTGGCCGGCGGATAGGGAAGTTGGCCATGCAACCAGGAAAAATCAGAAAGTTCTGCCGAGGTACGCATCATAGAAAACATTCTGCTCCAGAGACTATTGGAAGAAAAAAAACCAGATACTCGAATGACAACCACCCTGGCACCCTGGTGCCCATTTTATGGGCCCAGACAATCTTAGATCCAGAACCTTTACTTTACATTCCACCAAGGATTGTAGCCGTTATTCATCAACACGTTGAAGCCATCACAAGGGTTTCAAGAAGATTTTCGGAAGGCTCTTAACTCCGGGGCGTATCAACAAAGAGTCTTGGAGTCATCCACGTTGACACTGGAAATACATACAACGTTAACCGTTTGGCCATTAGAGATTTGACTTTGGAAAAAGGAATCGTAGCAAACTGGAGCTCGGAGATGATCATGTGTCCATTTTGGAGCGGGTGTGCTTGGCCATTCCACATGCGGTAGTCATTACCATTGCTGCGAGGCAACAGTTGGAGGGAACTTACAGTTTCCCTGAGCGCCACTCTGTTACACCCGGGATTGCACCATTGTGTCCTATTCATTGAACAACATAATTGACTGGTAGTTAGACGCAGTCTGACTTTGGGTTTGGTGGCTATTCCCAACTTATCTATCATTCTATATTAATTATATATATATATATTTATTTATTTATGTATACTGTATATATATATGTGTACTTTAAAACAACAACAACAACCAACAACAACCAACAACAACCAACAACCAACAACCAACAACCAACAACCAACAACCAACAACCAACAACCAACAACCAACAACCAACAACCAACAACAACAACAAAAACAACAACAACAACAACAACAACAACAGCAACAGCAACAGCAACAGCAACAACAACAACAACAACAACACCGCCTGAATGCCTGCATTGTTCACCCGATTTGGTATGATGATATCAATCTAGCTTTCTTCAGGTAAGACATCCTACATGGAGGGGTGATAAGATGTAGTTGTGCAGGGACCATCCACCCATTCAGCATCCCAAAACGATGGTAAAACATATTTTCTTGACTTGGTGTTCAGCATCGTCCAACAAACATTCGACAAAGCGCTGTCAGTTCCCATGCGGATTTTTTTTGCCGATGCCCATCGGCCGGGCATCTAAGGTTCAGCATCTCGGTTGGCGTTCAGAAAAGCTGCGGCTCCATGGGGGATCCTGATGCTAGCCCCTCTTGGGGACTATACCAAGCTTGGGGATTTCCAATAAGGTACCTTTCCAGGGCTGGTGAACTGAATGAGCTGGGGATGATGACATGAGGTTGAATCCCATTTGAGTGGACTCGGTTTGTCTTAAATCAACTGGTCAATCATAATTTGTTCCTTAACGTCGCCTGAAATTGTGGGTTGAATCCCACTCCCCCATTTTCAGACACACCCGGCTGGTCGGCTGGTCGTGTGATTTGCCCATGAGCCCCCTGTGACTTGTCCTTTTCAATGCAGTGCATCGGGATGCAGACTCGGCCACAACTCGGCCAGGTGGGTCAAGTTGATTGCAAGAGATCGGAGCATTTTTTATCATGTAATATTATATATATATGATTATGATTATACTTCAATATCGATTTATGTGCATATATGGGCATACAAAATCATATATGAATATACATATATTTCAATATGAATTTCTTTGATTCCATTGATTCCGTTTGTTTTCTCTGGACCTGGAAAGGTGTGATGAACGCTGTGATGCTGAAAACTCTCCCCCGCACCCGAGGTCCCCGAGTTCCCAAGTCCTTGTGGGGGCACCTGGGGATAGCGCATCGGTTCAAGGGAAAATCCAGAGGAAACTATCCGCCATTGAAGTTCTGTTATGGTTCAATATTTTCTGATTATTTTAATTTATCAATAATTTAACTAGACAAAAATAATATCCAATATTCGGTTCGGTTTAAGGCTTTGTTTTTGGTTCAACATGGTTTAATCATGATAAGTCCAGGGCATTCCTGTAAAGTTTAACTTGAGCCATGTCCAACCCATCCAGTGACAAGCACATGGTTGACTAAGAAGCTCTTGTGAGAATCAAGAGTTTAATACGGAGAAGCACACTATCACTATCTAGTACCTGCATACATCCTATATCATATTGTAACTCTTATTCTACTCAGCTCTGATGTCCCTGTATATGCCGGTGCGCATGTATTTCTGAATTGAATTGATTGATTCGTAATAACACCAAAAGGTGGACCTAAGTGTTTCCATGAAGCTATAGGTGATGTTTCATCCATATTTTCCAGGTGTTTGAACTATTTGAAACTGTTCTCTCTGTTGATATAATTCTTTTTGGAGTCACCATAATATTGATGTCAGTGATGCCCAAATGTCCACTATAGACTTGTAGATCCTGATCCACCAAGGCGCAATGTCCAGCAGGTTCCGGGGCTCAGCCCGCTGTCACACAGACCCCGTGGTTGAGAGGCAGGCTACCAAAACAGATGACATGCAGCTTACATTTTTGTTATTTTGGGATGGGGGACGGTTGTAGTACATGACCTGCAGATTATGTGCAGTTTTTCTGTTTTGTTGGTTGTTTTTTTAGGTTGAAACTTAGCTCTTGTGGCTGTGGGGTTCCCCCCGATGAATCAACCAGGGTCTTCACCAGATCGCTATATCCCGATATGTACATTTCCAGGTGATTCCACCATGATTTGTTGCTTTGATCCAGGGTTGTTCGTGGTGAAATCGGCATTTGTGGTAGCACAATCCCCAACCCTGCCGGTCTTACAGTTGGAATATGCAGTAGATACATGCTAAATTGATCTATAAGTTGTGTATATATATATATACTATATTGTATATAGTTATGTTGAATAATTACAATTTTGTTCCCAGTAAAAGGCTATGCTTTTCAGTTAAAGGTCCCCAGGTTTAGAGGAAGCCCTCTGAAAAGCCAAAGGTCTTTGAGGAGGTTCGTGCGCGACGCATGGCTGAGGTGGGGAACATCTTAAGATCAAAGCATTGGTGAATGTTCTGCATGGGTGATGTTCGGTGATGTACAGTATTTTTACATAGTATGTTTGAATATATGTCTTCATTGCGCTTCGTTTTTCTCTCTCCCTCTCTCTCCCCCTGTATTTTTGCATAGTGTGCATTTTGTTCGCCAGTTTTACGGAGGAAGCCTTGTAAGAATTATCTCGTCAAAATACATGTGGGTCTTCACCTAAACAGGATCAGGGCAGATGGCGCCACCAATGGTAAAAAAAAACACAAAAACAATGCGCAGTTCAAGAGTCCCAGCAACGGAAGTTTGCTCCGGAAAACATGCAGTCTGAGGATGTCTGAGGTACTTGGTGTTGCCATGGTTTATTCTTGCAAAGATACCCTCCATCAATCAAAGGTGGCACTTGGAACTAACCATCCTGTCAGGTCCAGAAGGAAATCCACTCTTTCATTCAAGAGACAGTGCTTGAACGATCCTGGACGTTAGGATTCATGATTAGAAAGTGGATTCGTTAAAACTTCATTCTACTCACAGGGTAGCCCTCTAGTAATTTAACATAGCCATGGAGTTACCTATTAAAACGTTGCCTTCAATAGCCAATAGCTGTGCTAGATTATCAACAGCGCCCGTCAGTAGAATTCCGAATTATTTTGGAAAAAATCGGTTTTACATTGTTTTATACCACATTTTTTCCATTGAAATTCCGATTGATACAGGAACCCCATTGATTTTTTACACACCGGTCGTGCTCGCAGACCGAAACGCTGTGGCCCACCTTCGCGGGCATAGGACATGCCACCCGAAAGGAGGGTACACCATATATATATATAATATATATATATACATATAATATGTATATATTTATATATGTTTATTTATTTCTATCACGAAACAATACGAAACCATATAGTCGGTACTCGTATATAATCAGATGTTTTGATTGCGTCTATTTGTGCGTGTGCGCGCATATACACGCATATGATACAGTATGCATGTGATACGGTATGCATATGATACAGTATGCATAGTGTATACATAAATTTGGGTAAACTATAGTGACGTCACTGGAATCATAGTGAGGAATCGGCCTTTTTTCAGCGTAGTTAATCATTATAAGTTAGACGCATTAAGGGTCTTGAGATGTGTTGTTCATGTGAGCTTCAATCTCATTATCTCACTATCGACAAGGACCTTCAAGAACGAATTTGAAAGATAAAGGTAATGTTTGACTCTTGTGTTAAGTCCAAGTCGAAAAGTAAGCCTTGGTCACAGGGCGCCCAATAAGCTTGGGCTGCCTGGGATTGAAATTTGGGAACCTCCATCGTACCCCCCAAAAAGTATGTCATATCGGGTAAACCCAGAGTGCACGAGGTCACGAGATGAGAAAAGGTTTGGCCAGTCCATGAAACTGGCCCCAGGACTCTTGTTCGTAATGCTCCTGGCAGTTTGTTTCATTGGCTACTGCCTGCAGGCTGAGGGAATGTGAGGTGATGCCAGGGCTCTGCCGGAAGCATGATATAGGATAAGTATGGGGGTACCGGTATTGAGTTGTATTGCAATATTGGTGCTTCTGGAAACGGAATAATTAAACCACTCAAACAGCAATTTCAAGAGGGACGTTG